AAGCATCGGCGGTAGTGCCCAGTGTTGGGGGTGTCCCCTGTGTGAACAACCCCAGAGATGAGTCGGTATTCACTCGTGGTGAGCTGTTGAGTGTGTGCATCTGTGAAGATGGGAACACTGATGACTGGATTGACGTTGACTGGGCCGCAGACTTTTTTGATGCGACCACCCTTTCCCTGAAGTCCCGGCTGTGCAATCCATGAGTTCAGTGCTAGCTGCGTCGTGGCCTGTCCGGTGCAGGGCAGAGGGATTAACGGCACAGCCGTATTCCATGCCCGGACTATGGCCGGCTCGTGCTCACTGATTCCAGATACTCTTGACTCCCATCTTCCCGCCAAGATTCTAGGGACCCCGTCCTTTGTGAGATGCTGCAGCAGTTCCGCGGCATCATGCTGTTGGTGAAGGCCTTGCCATCCCTGTAGGAGCTTCATACAGTCACTCCTTCGGCTCAGCTGTTGGGGCTTGGCACATTTTGTCAGTGCATTGAGCATGGGGCGCAGGCTGCCGAAGCCAGCCCTGTCTGTCGCCTTCACCTGCGTCCGCGATGTTCGACTCAGACGGCACTCGGGAGACCCACAAGTGTGCTGAGTGCTCCCAGACTACAGAAGCTAAGAGCTGGACCAGTCTGTTCAAAGACAGGACAGGAGAAAACATGTTGATCATACAAGCACGTGCAGCTTCATTATCAATATACAAGAATGCCCTCCGTCCCTTAAGGAGGGGGGCCATCTTACACAACGCGGCCACTGCGGCCATGAGCTCCAAACAGGCAATCACTTTGGGAGATTTGCTCTGGGCACGCTTCAACAGGTCAGCTGGTACGAGCGAGGACATGTGGTACATTCTGCGCCCCTCAGGCGACAACAAGTACATGACAGCGCCTACAGACGCCACCGAATCATCGTCTTCAAGCTCGGCATCAGTGAAGATGACAGCACGCATACCGGAGCCCAGAGCCTCCACAGATCTAGGCTGGGTCACCTTGCTGAAACTCTTCGCCCACTCGAGTTCAGCTCGTAGCTCTGGCCCCAAGCGTACATTGGAATCTTTCCCTGAAGCTCTGTCCTGAAAATGTCTCACGCGCTGGCGCACGATTCGTACGAACATATGCGACTCTGCAAACTGGAGTCTACCTCGAAGCGCAGCCGCAGTCGCCACCGTCAGCTTATCCGACGCCAAGATGTCTGCGACTTGCTCACAGATCTGTTCCACCCTGCTGGCTTTGTTGCAGACCTTTATCTTTCCAAGGATCGACTCAGTCAAATCAATAGTCACACCCAATGCGTCGAACTTGCGAGCCGCTGGCTGTCGTTTGGCAGGCTTACGTGAAAATCGCCACCCCAATAGCGAGAGAATACCCTCAGCAGCTTCTTGAGCATCATCACCACACACCTCAAGATCAACTTGAGGAAAGTCGACATAATAGTTGCCCCAGACTAAAAAGAACAAACGTGAGCCCATTTTGTGGATTGCACGGGCGATTCTGTTGAACGCGTACACTGCTGCAGACCCCCCGAATGGGAGAACGTTGCTGATGAACAGCTCATTCCCACCGGACGGGTTCTTGACGCAGAGCACTCCTGCCCAACGCGAGGCCTTGGCTGTTAGGACCTGCTGCGGACTCCAGGTCGAGCGTTCGACCCACTAGAGTCCCAGCCTGCTGCACAGTGAGCGAAGGATGCAGTTCACCTTGCAATACTGTGCCATCGGATAGAGCAAGCACGACTTGTCTGTCCTCGGAAGTCGCAGCAACGAATGCACGGCCTAAGACAACAATCAGTCCAACTTGAAGGAGGTGGCAAAACCTGCATTCACAAAGGACTCCGACATGTCGTCGATGTTTCGCGTCTTGTCTGCTTGTTGTATACCGAAGCGTCAACTGGCTACGAACAAAGGCCCAAGCTGCTCCACAACCTCAGATTCACTGAAAGGGCCGGATATGCCCACACAGCCTCGGAGATGCGATCGTCAGCTTCGGGGCGCTGGCGCCCAATGACTTTTCTTCTGGTCCACCGCGCAGATTTCATGACCTGGTCAAACAAATTTGAGTGGCCTCCTGCACCTGTCAACTCGGCACCAACCTCCGAAGGGACGAGAGATCGACATCTTCGACTCCCGCGTGCTCACATCGCGCACCAAGGCTTCACGGTCTTGGTCCATGGCACCATGGATCTGTTGCTCAGCGTCCTCCAAGGAACGGCTCAATTCGTGGTAGAACTCGAAGGCAGCACTTCTACGAGCACGGACAACTTCTGGCCCTTCTGTAAGCAACGTGAACATGGCCCTCAACGCATCATCATCTAGCATGACCGCGCCGTCAAAAGGGCGCTCAACCTCAAAGGCCTCCTGAACGAAACGCAGCGGCGTTCGGTACACCCCCAGCCTTGCCAGCGGCACCTGCACACCCCTAAACTTACTGGAGCACCGAGGATCCCCCACTTCACAGAATTCCAGTAGCTTAGCCGGCGTGTCGAGGCCGAAATGCTGGCCCTGCGACAAAGAGAGTTTGTGCGGCAACTTGCCCGGTCGCTCAAAGACCCATGGGAGCCAGATTTCCCTGGCAAATTCAGAAATGACCTGAGGGAGCTTGCCGGAAAGCGGCCATTCGCATTGCCGTTCGCTGCCGCGGGGGGCCTTGCGGCAGGAACGCGTTGGCCCCTCAACTTATCCTTGATAGGACGTTAAGAAACCCAAGCAGAGGAAACAACACCTCAGGGGCCTACCTTTTCTCGACCCTGAACCCTAAAGCCTAAACCCTAAACCCGCACGCTTGAGCCCTCGGCCTAGGGAGTTAACATTGACAGCGGACTGAAGGAGGGACCCTGATATGAGAGACCTTCGGGGTATGTAGGGGGCTACTTAGGCATATAAGGACGAAAAAAGGTAGAAACAAGGTGATATAGGGGGAATAAGATTTGGGGTCCCTTCGAGGGGTCCCTCCTTGCGCCACTGGAGCATCTTCAGTGGGAGCCGGTGAGGAGCTCGAGGAATGCCTGGAGGAGGCTGGGGGAGTGACGGAGGGACGCACCCAAGGGTTTAGGGTTTGGGGTTTGGGGTTTACCTTTTTTTGGGGGGGAGGGGGGGGGGGGTTGTTCTATACCTAAACTATTCGGAGTAATTATACCATTAATAGAGAACCAACAAAGGCTCGTAATTTAGATCAACCCCATCTGAGCAGTTGTGTTTTTGTTGCTCGGTCTGTTCCCATGGTTGGGGTGCCTGCGAGGGACTACGCTGAGCCTATGCAGGCAGACGCAGATTTGATTTTCCTGGTTGCAACCTACGGGAACCTAAGCAGACTAAGCCAACACAGGCGGCAATTGCCACCTATCGATGCCTGCACGGCACTTACTTGCACCTGCTCCGCAAGGCGGTGGAAAAGTGGACGGACGACAGAGGCAAAAGCAATTGCTTTGCACCCTCGATAGTCCATTCATGAACAGTTGAGCCGGTACAGATTGGATCAGAGCCGGAGAGGGGTATTGCGGGGTGGACTGACGAAGGATGGGATGGCGGCTTAGGGTTCAGGATTCAGGGTACACAAACGGCTGAGCAACGGAGTCTCAGGGTACGGCCAATCCAAAACAGAACTGTGTCCGCACGTGGGACCCTTGGGTCGATTGGGGATTGGGGTAAAGGATTTTTCCGGCATTGGGGTGGTAGGAGGGTGGTTGGTTTCAGTCGCTTCAGTTGGTAGGGTGGTGGGTTGGTGGTATCATACACCCCCGCTGGGCAAGGTCTAATCTGTCTGCACCCGTTTGCCCAGGCCAGTGTCCAACCAAGAGTTGTTTGCTGCTTGAAAGTTAAGATGCCAGTCGTTTCTTGTTCCTGGACTGCGGACGCCATCGCTTCGCAAAGCTTGGGCGGGTAATCCGCATCGGCATGAAAACGTCGGAGGTCTCCCCAAAGCGCATGTTTGTGATCTCCGGAACACGCTCCACGAAGAGAAAGAAGGCCCTTGAAATTGCAACGGAAAGTATACCACTTGTCACTTCGCCCACCCCAAACACATTGTTGAAAATCAACAGTGTGCAGGTCATGTTTGCGCAGCAAACTTTTGAACCAAGACGTCTTCCACATCAGCGACTTTGTTGGATGTCCAACGCAAATGGCGATGTTCATGTCAGCACATGCACTCAGGAACGTTGCATTGGTGCGAAAAATTTTGTTGGCAGTAGCAACTCTTCGCTGATCAGTTTCAGTTAGGTTGTCAGCTCCTTCAGGCTTAGCCCCTGAACGCAGCGGCAGCGGCATTGACTCTCGTGTTTGATGGGAGCGAGAGAACTTCCTCGCACGCGTCCTGGCAACAGTACCGGAGGGAGGCGTCGCGTGTACAAAAATCAGCTCACCTGGTTTTCTCAGAAGGCCTAACAGGAAGTCAGAAGCTTCATCACTAGCCAGATCTAGCTGAATGCAAGGATGGCATTGATTGTTGCGATTGCCCCCGTGGTTCACAGCCAGCGCTTGAAAACCCATCCCACTCAAGCGTGCCGAAAGCCGCGCCACACCTGCGCCCAGTTCCAAAGTCAGCAAAGAAGAAAAAGGAGCGCCTTGAAAAACACTACACAGTGTTGGGGGGCAGGGGGCCTTGCCCGGGAGACTGTCCCCCCGCCCTGCGCGCAATCAGTTGTTGGGACACTCACGCAAGGGATGGCTTGTTCCAGCCTTTGCGGCACTTCTCTCCTGCGGCTGCGTCAGAGCAGCCGTCCAGGTTGTAGTCGAAGCAAACCGGCTCACCATCCGGCTTCGTGGCCGAGTAGCCGATGAGGCGATTCGGCATCCGCACCACGCCCGAGTCGTTTGCGGCCCCCCTTTCCTGGCCCCCCGCGCCCCTTCTGAGCCTGCAGGTTGTGCACCTGACCTTGCAAGTTCTGAACCTGGCGCTTGAGTCGCTCTTCTTCGGTTCGGGCTTTTGACGCTTCGCCCCTGCGCTTGACAGAAGTGGTGTCCTCAAGAACAGCATCATCGGCCTTGCGCCTGGCTCCTGACTGCAAGGGTAGCGGCTGCAAGCAGAGGCGGACTTCAGGGGCAGAGATGGCCGCACGGATAGCTGTTTCGATTGGCAGTGTACCATCCGCCAAAGGTTTGATGCCTGACCTAGTCTCTTTCATCATGCACTTGAACAGCGCCAGATCGGCGTTGTGGACTTGCTCGACGCTCACCTTAGCATAGCCTGCCGGCGGGATCTCCAAGAAGGCGTCGAGGAGGACTTGGGCCCAACGCTCCATCTTGTCGTAGTCGATGAGACGACTTTGGTCAAAAGCGAGGGACCTACGCTGCAACGCAAACTTCAGTTTGAGATCCGTGCTGGTATTTGCTTTCAGCTCAACGGGCATTTTGACTTCCTTGATGTGGCCATTGGCGTCGGGCCGCCACATGGGGTCCGACTTGGTCCCCATAAGTTCTTGGTCGCGTTTCGTACATTGGTCCCACCGGAGGTACCTGAGCTGATTTTCATCGTACATCTGCACCACCGCGTCGATGAGAGAATGGCTGGCCTCGAGCTCACCAACCATATTTAGTCCATTCAGACCTTTCATCTGGTCTGTATGTCTTGAAGATCGTTCGGCCACCGACAACTTCCTGGGGGCGTCGTCGTCTTTGCGGTCGATGCGACTTTTCAGGTCTGCAGAGGCGAATGTGTAACTCTCAAAGACGATGCGGCGAACGAGAGGTACTCGGTTTGCAGGAGGCGAGGTACTCCCGTAATGACCTGAGCCAGCTCTATGAGAGGCTTGTCGTCGGCCTGGCCTGCCGTGTAGTTCTTAGCGAAGGCCAACCTCCCGAACGTGTCCCAGCCCTGCTGCTTGAAGACAGCGATTTCTGTGTCTGTGAAGCCTATCTCCCGTGCACGGGCTTCGAATATGGCCTGGGAGTCTAACATTGGGACAAACACCAGGGAGTGGGGACCTCAACAAAGCTTGAACTGAAAGAAGCAGTTTCACAAACCAATGGCCCCGCTGCCAACCTCAGCGAGCTAACGAATGCCTCTGCATTCAACACGGGTTTGCGTGCACCCTCCGCACGGCACTAGAGCACAGGCAAATCAGCCGTTTGTTGCTCGCTGCCTCCACCGTCCAAGTAAACAAAAGGAGACAAATGAGCATTCAAAAAACGGGCGCTACTGCTGCTACAAGCCTCATCAGCTCTTCCCCTGAACACGGCCATTGCCGGCGTCAGAGGCCTTCCACACGCGAGCTTTGCCCGTGACACAACGTGACCCAAGTGAAGGGTACGCCTTTGCCTATGCCGGTACATTACAGACTGATCTGCCTTCTTTGCTCCAGTTCTCATGCTCTCGACACAGAGAGCTGCAAACCCTTCTCATGAGAAGACACAGAAGACTCTGTCGAGTCAGAGTCGCTGGAGGAAGATGTGCAACTGGGGCTGTGCACCTCTCCGCCCACCTGTGGCATCACCGCCGGACGGGCCTTGGATGAGACACCCTCATCTAGCACATCACCGTGCTTGTTAGCTTGATCACTCTCTGGCGCATCAGGTTTGCGAGCCGCACGAAGAAAACCCTCTCCAGTGAGTACTTCAATGGCTTGGTCCACAGACTTCTTTGCATGCTCTTCAAACTGAGTCATCGCACAGACGCGATCCGCGAACTCGGGGAAAAGGCGGCCGCGGGAGTTGTCCGGCATGTAGGATCCTTCAGCCACGCATTCAAACATGTCCATGAAAACTCTCATCGGCTTCGCCAGACAGTCACGAGTGTAATTGAGGGCTGACTGCCGCCCTTGTAGGACATGATACCGGAGCAGCTGTGCCTCATCGAGATAGTCACTCTCGCCATATTTGTTGAACATGCTAAGCATCGTTGCCTTCAGACTGTGGCTTGAATAACCCTGCACCTCATCATAGTTCAACAGCTTAGACAAAACTTCACGCAAACGTTGAGATACATCGGCAGCACTGATTGCCGACTGCCTGTCCGCCGAAACTGAAGCCTCGCTGGGAAAGAGAACAAACTTGTGCGTCGCAACACTCTGAGCTCGTCTGTCACGCTCTGTAGGGAGCGACTTCAGTCCTAGCTGAGCTCGTGCTGACAAGAAAGAACTCAGCCACGGTAGGCCCAACAGGCCCATTGTTGGAATGACAGCAGGCAGGAATGTAACCTGTTTCTCCTTCGTCTTTGCCGTTTTGACTTTCATAAGATTGCCTTCAAGGAAGTCTCCCTCAACCGAACCACACTCTAATCGGTTCCCATCAGAGCAACGCAGCCTTCCAAGCAGCAAAAGCGTGGCAAACCCTGCAAATGCTCGGGTGCACAACTCAGCCTCGTAGACTGCAGTCAGTTCCCAGGCACATATCATCGGAACAGTCAAAACTGGCGCTCGCTTGAGCGGCGCTTTGTTGACACACATCAAGTGCGCGACTCCGAGGGCTCTCTGGGAGAAAGCTGCTTGCGCAGCTTCAATCATGCCAAGAAAACCCGATAGAAACGCAAGCGAAGCCATAAAGGTAGAGCCCCGCATGGGGGGAGACTCGACCCTTCGCAGGTGACACAAGTAACTGTATACACCTTCTTCACTTGGCGGAATAGCAAGTTCGTTTGGGAATTCAATCTTGAACCACTTACAGAACAAGCACAACGAATTGACCCTTGTCCTCAGTGTTGATGTGGATTTCCGAGCAAAGTGATCTTGCAAAATTTGCCAAGCATCATTGTGGTCGACATCTTTTCCGGCCTCTGCAATCAGTTGTCGCCCTGCGGCTGTTGCATCAGGGTTGATCATCAGCAATTCGCGCCACTTCTGCAAGACGATAATGCGATCCGCTGCTGGGCATACTGACGCGGCCCTGTCAATGTAGACCCGCAGTCTCGATTGCTTGGCTGACAAGCTCAAGGAGCTTGCATTGTCAAAGTGCCTCTCAAGATATGGCAAATTTGATGGCACAACGAGGGTATCCACCATGGCATCGGGTTTGATCCTAATACATTCTGAACGAAAGGCGATTGCTCCCAAGGGAGCTTCGGGAGTCCCACAGGACTTCCTGACATTCGAGCGATCTCAACAAGACGCTCAGCATCAGAAGAGGCATCACTGCCCCTTGCACCTGAATCACCCCCGTTCATCACTCAGGCCAGACACCCTGGCATCTCCCACCCACCCATCCCCTTGATCTTCATAGCATATCAGATGTAAGACGTGATGCCACAGCATCACTCACTTCGCTCATTTACAAACAAGGTGACACGAAGTTTCGTGTTGCAACGTGTGTAGGTGCGTGTAGGTGCGTGTAGGTGCGTGTAGGTGCGTGTAGGTGCGTGTAGGTGCGTGTAGGTGTGTGTAGGTGTGTGTGTGTGTGTGTGTGTGTGTGTGTGTGTGTGTGTGTGTGTGTGTGTGTGTGTGTGTGTCTGTGTGTGTGTGTGTGTGTGTGTGCGTGCGTGTGTGCGTGTGTGTGTAAGTGTGTGTATAAGTGTGTGTAAGTGTGTGTAAGTGTGTGTCAGTGTGTGTCAATGTGTGTCAATGTGTGTCAGTGTGTGTAAGTGTGTGTAAGTGTGTGTGTGTGTGTGTAAGTGTGTGTAAGTGTGTGTAAGTGTGTGTGTAAGTGTGTGTAAGTGTGTGTAAGTGTGTGTAAGTGTGTGTAAGTGTGTGTAAGTGTGTGTAAGTGTGTGTAAGTGTGTGTAAGTGTGTGTAAGTGTGTGTGAGTGTGTGTGTAAGTGTGTGTAAGTGTGTGTAGTGTGTGTAAGTGTGTGTAAGTGTGTGTAAGTGTGTGTAAGTGTGTGTAAGTGTGTGTAAGTGTGTGTAAGTGTGTGTAAGTGTGTGTAAGTGTAAGTGTGTGTGTGTGTGTGTGTGTAAGTGTGTGTGTGTGTGTAAGTGTGTGTAAATGTGTGTAAAGTGTGTAAAAGTGTGTGTAAGTGTGTAAGTGTGTAAGTGTGTAAGTGTGTAAGTGTGTAAGTGTGTAAGTGTGTAAGTGTGTAAGTGTGTAAGTGTGTAAGTGTGTAAGTGTGTAAGTGACTGTGTGTGTGTGTGTGTTTGGGTGTGTGTGTGTGTGTGTTTGTTTGTGTGTGTGTGTGTGTTTGTTTGTATGTGTGTTTGTGTGTGTTTGTGTGTGTGTGTGTGTGTTTGTTTGTATGTGTGTGTGTGTGTGTTTGTTTGTTCGTGTTTGTGTGTGTGTGTGTGTGTGTGTGCGTGTGTGTTTGTTTGTTTGTGTGTTTGTGTTTGTGTGTGTTTGTGTGATTGTGTTTGTGTGTCTTTGTGCTTTGTGTGTGTGTGTGTTTTTGTGTGTGTGTGTGTGTGTTTGTGTTTGTGTGTTTGTGTTTGTGTGTTTGTGTTTGCTTGTGTTTGTGTGTTTGTGTTTGTGTTTGTGTGTGTGTGTGTTTGTGTTTGTGTGTTTGTGTTTGTGTGTTTGTGTTTGTGTGTGTGCGCGTGTGTATTCGTGTTGTGTGTTGGTTGTCCAGAGCTTCGCAGACGTGACATCTCTCACACTTCTGAGGATCACGTGCCCTAAACCTCGAACCCAAAGCCTCAGCGGTGCCACAATCCCGTCTGAAAGCTCCCGGCGGCCTGGGTCTCGCCTTCGGCGGAGCTTCTGTCCAACACCTCTGAGGTGCATTGAACGGTTTAGAACTTTTGGTGTTGGGCTTTCGGGCTTCATACAAAATGAAAAGGAAGTAGGGGTGCATGATCGGAGCTGGCAATCTCTCACGGTTAGTGCATACCTGCCGCCAAAGGGTCGGCACTCTCACGACCACGCGACTTTCTGTCGGGGTCCACAGCAAGCAGATCACGCATATCTCTTGTGAACCCGGACGCCCGCTTCAGTTGAAAAAAGTCCCACAACCACGCCAGAGAACCCCACCCTAAACTCTAAACCTTCTTCAGGGTTGGAAGTTGGAAAATTCTTTCCAAAACCACCGAAGGAACACAATACACCCTCATGTCCCTACCTTTAAGACTACATGAGAGGTACGAGGAACATAATTACAGACGTCTAGCCCCCGCAATGTACAAATAATGTCTTATGTTGTGGCCATGCGGCTGCAGGTGAACGCTCGCTGCCCTCATCGTCGGAAAGCCTCACAGACTTGGCGCTCATAGCAATTGAGAAGCAACGGGGATTGCAACATCTTCCCTCAGTAGATCGTCTTGAGCTGCCAGAGCGAAGAGACCACACCCTCCACCAAAACCTTTTTGTCGTACTTTGATGCTGGGCGATGTTCGTGAGCCTTTGATCAGCGAACTATGGTCTATACTTCTAACAGGAAAAACGTGGGCCTACGAATCCCCAACCCCAACGGCAAGAGCCTTGTGCTCCCTGAAAGCAAGCCCTCAGCTCTCGGCACCTCATCACAAGCCTGAATCAGAGAATCTGAGTTCCAAGCAGGTCTACCAGGTTCTCAGCAGTCTCCGCACCGACTGCTCGCGTTTCGGCGACCAGATACAACTCCTCGTGGACAGGGTCTTCTCCATACTGGCAAAGCATGCGTAAATTAGGAGTCTCGGAGGTAGCTTGAACCACACTTTTCATAGCTACAAACTTCTTTGGCCAGTCTTGAGCTTGGATCTCAGATTCTCAGAGCGATGTTGTGGCAGATTTGCAAAGTTGTCATGTGGAGTGTGATGTTTAGGTGGAGTGTGATGTTTAGAGAAGCAAAGGGTAGTGAGCTTCTTATCATCCACTGCCCAATGAAGTTGATGGTACAGAAGCTGTGAGGCGATTCACTTTTCATGAGAAGGTTTTCTCATCAAGCCCTGTATGGGGCATCTTCGCAGCTTTATTCATTGGCTTGGGGCCCCCGGAGCACCTTTTTTTAAAAAAAACCCAACCCGAAACATCTTGGAGCAACTCTTTGGTTCGCCACGTCGTCTCCTTGGCGCTGACCTGCTCGTACCCGGCTCGGAACCACCTGTCGAGTGAGTGCGGAAAACACATGACAGGTTCCCTCACTCAGGGTCCTTTCTGTTTCGGGCGCGACGGTGGGCCGTAAGAAAAGGAATGCCACACACACTTGCAGAATGCTTTGGTGCCCGCAGCACGCAGCCCCCCGGCTTCGCCTGGAGACGGGCCTCTCGAAGAGTGCTGTGAGCAGCCAGCCCAGCACAATCGAGGACGGCACGGCCACCAGCAGGGTCCACCTGGGCTCCACTCTCAAACCTTCCGGACCCAACTTATGGTTGAGGGTTTAGGGCTTTGGCGCCTTTGGGATTGGTATGGGGTTTGGGGGGGGGTCGAGCGTTGCCCAGGCGCCAGGGCAGGGACTTGACCTGCAGATTCTTGCCCAGGGCGAGGGCCACGCCCTCCATGACGAGCGGGTGGACCATGTAGATGCACATGGAGATACCTCCCAGGAACCGCAAGGGCCTGGACCGGAAGAAACCGGACAGGCGGTCTTCGCTGGTGATTGCGAGGATGAGCTCGTAGAATAGGATGGGCAAGAACACTTCCAGGTAGAACTGGAGCGGGAAGAGGCGCACCGAGCAGAAGTACGTCACCACGGTGGCCGCGGCCGTGAGACCCATCCACGCCATGGCCAGGACCCAACCCGGCAAGCATGCCCTGCTTCCCCAGGCAACGCCGCTGGCGGGCACGGCGGGCACGGCTTCGCTCACGGTCTCGCCTTGCCCGGCGCGGGTTCGGGCGAAGCCCGCGCACACGCCCATGATGAAGACGGGCAGACGTGCGGGTGGAAACATGCGGATCCAGTAGCCGCTGTGGCCCAGGTGACTCAATGTTAGCGGCGCGGCCGAGCACATGGCCACTGCCTGGAGCACGTACATGGCCCAGGCCACGGGGCGGAGATGCCGCAGCTGCAGCTTCTGCAGCGCCGGGGCCAGGAAGGGGAAGCAGGCGTAGAAGAAGAGCATCGTCGAGACGGTCCACGTCTCCTTGATGACAGGTGACGTCGAGACCTCAATATGCATATACAAGCTGGCTTGAGTAGGCACCCTCCTTCTATGATGCATCTCATCACTCTTCCCAATTCGTACTAGGAACCCAAGATGTCATACCTGTGAAGCACAGCACCAAGTCCAAGATTGTCAGGTCGGGCGTGGAAGCAGGATGCGCGAACAATTTGAAGAAAAACCCAAGGGCACCTGTCAAGACAGAAGTGGGGCCCAGTCGTCCCACACGGCGCATCCAGAAATCACCTGCGCTGAACCTCACCGCTGCGCTGGCGCTATATCCCAGAGACACCACGAACCCAGAGATGATGTAGAACAGGCCCACGGAGCCCCCTGCAGGATGCCGGGGGGTTAAATTTCCTTCAAAACTGTTCATCCTCAAAACTTGCCGACCTTGCATGAACGCCACCAAGCCCTTTGCGCATCGTATCCGGTCGCAAGGCCAATCCCAACCGTCCTGGCACAAAGGCTTGTTGCGGCCCAAGGCTTCGATCAGAGTGCGAATCCATCCGAACCCCTAAACAGTCCGAGTTTAAGGTTACACGGCTTAGGATGGTTTAGGGCTACCCTTATGCTTCGATCCAGTGAATGGAGCATTCAAGTCTCCCATAGATCACCTCATTGGTCCTCCGAGATGTCCGGGCAAGGGTGCACACAGTTCTGTAGCTGCGCTTCCACGCTGCGAAGGAAGCGTTCACCCACCCGCCGTTCCTGAACTTCGTCCTGAACTCGGGCGAATCCCCACACCGAGCGCTGAGAGCCCATGCAGCACATGATGCGACAGAGATCCCCCCCATCCGGTACATTCGTGACATGCTTGTTTCTCAACACTCGTGGGGTACGCTACGCTGAGAGGAGCATTCTCCTCTTATGCTGGCAATACGGTGCATATTGCCGTCTTCTCAATGCTGTGCAGCAAAAAGGCTCAGGGGGGCCTCGAACCTCGTGTCCACCTCGGCTCCATTCGCCTCATGTCTGGAAACCTGCATGACGTTCGTCCCCCCACCTTGCCTCGCAATTGCAATGCAGGCAGTCGCAGCAGTAATCGTTGAGGTGCCCAAAAGCATCGGATACTGTACAGTACTCGCCCCCGTACACATTGCCGTTGCCGTTGTTGGGCTCCCCTTCCCTCCACGTCACCTCAGCCGTTCCACCGACCGACTCTGCCCCTACGAGCTTCGACTGATCTGCGGCTTCAAGGCTTGAGGGTTTGTAGGGTTTTTGCAGTGTTTCCTCGGTTTGGGCTTTCGGGCTTCGCAGCCTTCATACAAAACGGAGCCACAAACGCCCCAACCCCCGAGCGTTCCTGGTCACTTGCATGTCTAAGCCGGCGCCAGCGCTCCAAGTCCAGCCGTTGCCATAATAAAGGCCGACCCAGAAATGCCCGATTCCATGAGGATGACCATACCTATCAGATCTTGGTTTGGCTCCTATGCGATAAGGAGGAGACGGCTCTCCAGAGCCCTTCTTCAGAGCCCGTTTGAACCCCTGAAGCCCAAAAGGGAGCCAACCCACCAACAAAAGCCACAACGAATGTCCCAGATTCGTGCGCTGCAGCGCACGCCCCATTTCGGCCGTGGAGCCCGACATCCTTCGAGAACCACTATACGGTTGGGGGTTTAAGAGGTTATGGGGTTTGGGGGGGTCCTTTGGGCGTGTTGGGCCCAGGATGCCCAGGGTTCTGAAACAAAATACGCACAACTCGTTCATGCCGCTTCCTCATGCGCACTGAAGCTGCAACGGGGTCTGCCAAGCATGCGCCTCGAGATTTGGGCCTCATGCCATCCCAGGCTTCGGGGAAAGTTGCGGACGCTGCGGCAGAACTGGCTGCATCAAAGTTGGTATTTGGGTGAGGTAGCGCTAACCGGCCAGAATCAATCACACGCACACACACACACACACACACACACACACACTCACACTCACACTCACACTCACACTCACACTCACACTCACACTCACACTCACACACACACACACACACGAACGATTCACTTCATGCCTTCAACCTGCTTAAATCACAGCGGGCCTCTAGCACGCATGCTGCTGCTGACGGTGGGTCGGGCCAAGGTGCAGGCTATTAGAATGGGGCCTGGGGGGCGGGGTGGTCCCGGTCGGTACCATACATGCCCCAAAGTAACAGAATCCGGGTGCTGGAACTCAAGAAGCAAGCTTAAAAGAAGCAAGATTAAACAACATCGTTCCCACCATCCAAGAAGCCTGCCAATCCCGTCCCCAATGACCTGGAGTAATCTGGGATGTCCTGGGACTATGTTCAGCCAGGGCACAGATGGCCCCCGAAGGCCATCGCTGTGCAAAGCTCCTCTGCTTGGTGCCAGGTTCTGGTCTGCGGGCAGTCTTGCGCAGGGGCATAGCACCAGCCGCCCACGCGACCCCAACCGTCCGGGCAAATGTCAGCCGTCTCAGCTGACCTCGGCACTGCGAGCAGTCATTCTGCCATCCTTCGAAAAGCAAACCCCCTCGCCCCAAACACCCAGGACTCATCAAACATCACGGCTTTGGTGATTCTAGACCTGGGACAAGTAAATGTATTATTCGCACCGAATTCTCATTGTGACCCAGGGGACCACAAGCCCGGGCCTTCCCCCCCCCCCCATTGAGCCCAATCAACACCTCAAAAAGAAAAAGCTTTCGGTCTTCGCAAGTCCTTGCAGCAAAAAACGAGCCAAGCTGCAGGTCGCTTCGAAGAAGGGTTTGGCCCAGCAAGACGTGTAAGGCAGCAAAACCGCGGAGGCCGTCCACTGCCCGCGTGTCGAAGCCCTCTGGCATCAAAAAAACGATGGCACGGGGCTTAACATGGTGTCGGAACATGTCGGAACGCAACTTGTTGACAGCTTCCATGCCGAGCTGTTGGGGCTTCTCAGGCTCTTATGAGATTGAGGGCACGAGCCTTCCGCGATGGTGGCAGCATACCAGCTCTGCCACAACTGTCGCTGCCGCCACAACGTCAGGTCTCAGAAACTGTCGCGAGCTCGTGCTGGTATCCATGCACGCGGACCGGTTGAGAATGGTTCAAAAACACCTTGACCCGGAACGCTTGCAAGTATGGGGGTCCTTTCCCTTGCCAACCCAGTCAGGTCACAGAAATAAACCCCACGGCATGCAATCTCAAGAAAAACTTGATTGAAGCCTCTTTCGGACCTATGAACCTCTCCATAAGGGTTTAGGGCAACCAGAAATCGGGACGGAAGGGCAGGTGATGGGGTGTGGGTAGTAGCATGTGACACCACAACCACCCTACGATCGCGCCTCTTTTTGCCCTGTAATTATCCGGTGCTGAGACGAGACAAGCGCCAAGACCGTTCTAACACGAAACCCTTCAGTTCGTGGCCTGGCTTGCTCAGACCGACTTCGCGAGGGCAGTATCAGTGAAAAATTCTGTTCAAAAAAGCCCCCTTTGAAGGCTTGTCAGAAGTGGGTGTGATTGGTGGACGTTTGCGACACCTGTGCCATTCAAAGACGATGACGAGGGCTTGTCTATGACTTAGTCACTGGTCGCAACTCCTGCCAGGGGCCGGGCTCAGGCGAAAACCATGAACCCTCAACATCCCTAAACCAAACCCCTTTTGAAGCCCTCTCGAGGGGGCCTCTGGAGCTCCCAGCCTGAGATGTGAATCTGGTGCCCAAAGAGGAGGATGGAACTCTCGTGGACCGCGACACTTCCTCTGCTTTCTTCTGAGCAATGTTTGGTCAAGCACGGGGAAAAGCTGTGAAACGAAAACACATGCCCCTCATGAGCAAAGCCGCAGGAGATGCGGCGGATGCGGGTGCACCTAAAGCAGACGAGTCATCTCGCTGCGACCTCAGATTGGGCTCGGCTCGAACTGATGGGCTTAGGTTCTAGGGCTGAGGGTTTAGGGGCCTAATTCATTCTGACTCACACTCGCGCAGGGATCCTGCCCTCTGGATGTGTGGGTTTCGCGCCCAGTGTGGGAACCGCAACCCGCCGCCGTGCCACCCCTGGATACCCCTGGATTGCACTCCCTGACGGCAGCTGACTGAAGGATGCAGTGCCTCAAACGACCTTCACACTGAACACTGACACTGTTTGGCGATTCGCATGATGCCGACAATCAATTGCCGCTGATGTCTGGCCCGAAAGGGGCTAAGGCAATGCTTGGGCAATAGGAAAAGGTGCTCAGACTGTGCCTAGCGATGGACGGAAGACCTGGCGAGTTCCAGTGTGGAACAGGACCCCGGACACTTTCTTGAATTTCATTGAAGTGGTATCTGGTGCAGGGATGACGCCGTCAGAACGCACCGCTGCTGCCAGGTTTGTGAGAAAGCTTTGGGGGGTAATGATAATCCAGCTCTACGGTGCTGTTTCGACCTCCTTACCTCGAACGAGTCTCCGGGAGAGCGCACAGACGTCAGTTACGCTGCTGGCAGTGAAAGCACGGGTTTACTGGCATGCAGTGCTGGCTTCGAGTGATCTACGCTTCAATGATGCGTTTACGAAGGTTGCGGTTGCAGCCTTTGGTGGCCTTATGTACATCACGAATGCAAGAGATGGATATAGCGTAAAATAATTCCAAACCGCCTTTGAGAACGGAGCCGCAGAAATTAGCAGAGAAGTCCAGTTTGCATATTACAGACCTTCCGGATGTAAAGGTGGATGATGTTTGGCCAATACACAGTTGCTCAGATAATGCTGGATTTCATCGTCAATATCGAGAAAAACGGATTGTGCAAGGGCTGCAGCCCTTCTCGGTGATTAGCCTTATAACTTTCGTAGTCTACCCAAAATACCCGTTTAACATGTTACAATTAACCCCATACTCCCCAACATGCCCATTGAATAACTCAATGAAGCCCTTCGTTGGGGCTTTGGGGCCTCGGGTTCAGGGAGGGTCCATGATGCCGACACTTGCCGCTGAGGTCGCTAAGGCACTGCTTGGGCCATGGGAAACGGTGCTCAAAGTGTGCCTGTAGCTGTGCATCCCTTTCAAGCCCAGGGTAGGCAAGGTTCTGGTCCGCCCCCAGATGCATGGCGCTCGTGCCATCCTCCTCCAGGCATCTACAAGCATGGTTCAAAATTCGTACATGGGACCACCTAGCATGGGGCAAGCAAAGTGCGGAAGCTACTGACTGCAGTCTCCTGAACAAACTGAGTCCGAGCAACCTTGCGTCTGGGCCGCAAACACCTAAACAGGGATTGCCGCGATCTGGCCGTGGTCAACATACTGTATAATGAGCTAGGCGAAGGCATGGTACAAGCAAGGCATGACATGCAAAAGCAAAAGGTCTATCACCGACGAACACAGAAACACCACACTGAACAGCTCAGTGCCCGCAGCACGCAGCCCCCCGGCTTCGCCTGGAGACGGGCCTCTCGAAGAGTGCTGTGAGCAGCCAGCCCAGCACAATCGAGGACGGCACGGCCACCAGCAAGGTCCACCTGGGCTCCACTCTCAAACCTTCCGGGCCGAACTTATTGGTTGAGGGTTTAGGGCTTTGGCGGCTTTGGGTTTGGTATTATTTGTATTATTTGGTGCTTGGGTTTGGGGGGGGTCGAGCGTTGCCCAGGCGCCAGGGCAGGGACTTGACCTGCAGATTCTTGCCCAGGGCGAGGGCCACGCCCTCCATGACGAGCGGGTGGACCATGTAGATGCACATGGAGATACCTCCCAGGAACCGCAAGGGCCTGGACCGGAAGAAACCGGACAGGCGGTCTTCGCTGGTGATTGCGAGGATGAGCTCGTAGAATAGGATGGGCAAGAACACTTCCAGGTAGAACTGGAGCGGGAAGAGGCGCACCGAGCAGAAGTACGTCACCACGGTGGCCGCGGCCGTGAGACCCATCCACGCCATGGCCAGGAACCAACCCGGCAAGCATGCCCTGCTTCCCCAGGCAACGCCGCTGGCGGGCACGGCGGGCACGGCTTCGCTCACGGTCTCGCCTTGCCCGGCGCGGGTTCGGGCGAAGCCCGCGCACACGCCCATGATGAAGACGGGCAGACGTGCGGGTGGAAACATGCGGATCCAGTAGCCGCTGTGGCCCAGCTGACTCAATGTTAGCGGCGCGGCCGAGCACATGGCCACTGCCTGGAGCACGTACATGGCCCAGGCCACGGGGCGGAGATGCCGCAGCTGCAGCTTCTGCAGCGCCGGGGCCAGGAAGGGGAAGCAGGCGTAGAAGAAGAGCATCGTCGAGACGGTCCACGTCTCCTTGATGCCGATGGGAAACCGAAAAGCCCAGGAGGTCAAACATGAAGCTGACAGCAGCCAGTGAGTAAGCACAGGCGTTCCTGCAGGAAACTTCGTGCGCGAGACGATGAGGCTACAAACCGCACAGGCCTGCACAGACAATCACGGACAAGCCCAACAACTAGCACTTTGAAGAACAGCACAAGTCAAGGAACTTCTCTCGACCAGGATATCTGCAGCGTCTGGAACTCGAAGTCGCGTCGACGCCGCTCGGAAGGCCAAGCCAATGGCATTCGTTAACAAATACGTCGGCCCTACGCGTGCTGCTCGGCGCAACCAGAAAGCATGTTTATGCCCGGGCTGGTATACTTCCCCGACAAGCTCCGGCTGGTCGCCCACCACTAGCACAAACCCGGAGATGATGTAAAACAGGCTCACAGAAGCACCTCCCAACAGTGTTACCAAGCCAGTGCTGCATGGAACCCAACCACCGCCTGCACCAATCATACCATCCCGGATGCGTTCCTCACGCCGGCAAGGAGGAGCATCCCATCCCTCCTTGCAAGTTCACTGATCCCCTACCCCAGAAAGCAGTCCTCCTACCCCCCAGTACTACATATTCCCATTGTAGTACATTATGGTGTATTGGGTGTATTCAATACTAGAGCTTACTAGTGGATTGTGCGGGATCTCGAACGTTCGAACTGCCGGGAATACAACCTCCAAGTCATTGGACCCATGACCTGCTAATCACCCTTGAGGGCAAAACAAAAAAAAACAGTCTACAAGTACAACTGCAGAACAAACTTTATCACGAAAAAATGACGATAATCACGCGTAAGAAAATGCATACATATATAGCTATATAAACGAACCGTGGGATTCGGAGGTCGGGTCCTCCGACACGTCCGGGCATTGCTGGCATTTCTTGAGCTGCGCCTCCACGCTGCAGAGGTACCGTAAAGTCACCTCTCGCTGCTTCCATGGGGTTCGTAGAAACCCTAAACCCTAAACGCCCTAAACTCTAAACCCCTGCGGCCCTTCATACCTTCCTGCCTGGCACTCCCTGTCTAAAAGAGTGCCGTCTGGAGTCGCAGCTGCGCAGTCTTCCCCGCCGCTACGTAAATGGACGTTGTTGTTGGGCTCCCCGGCCTTCCAAGTCACCTGCAGCAGTGAACTCTGCATGTGAGATATGCTTGGGACCCCCCACTTTGCTTTGCGGGGACCCTCAACCCCAGGCACCGACGATTCAGCACCTGATGTCCACGTCCAAACGCCCTCCTGCTCGAGGTCATTCCTGGTGACTCCACCCAAACTCAAACACCTCCAAACGGTGCTGGTTAAGTGGCTAAGCCGCCAGTCCGAGGCAGAAACACCTTAGGGGACGAACTCCTAATCTCCTATAGCAGGCCAGGTTCAAGCCGGTCCAAAAGTCAGTGCGGTTCTCTACCTTGGCTCTTGCTGAGGAGGTGTACAGTTTTCAGTTTAGGGTTTGGGGCACACATTGTACCAGACCACGTATATATCAAGGGTTTAACGAATCGCTTCGTACTGGTGTGTAAAAACTCCTGAACGGCATCCAGTCTCGTCGGGATACAACTTGTTGATGGCGATGCCGTTTTCGCGCGTTGAACCGGACATCCTACAGTTCATAGCTGAGGGGCTTTGTACGTGATTTAACGATTTTATCCTTAACTATAACTTTACAACTTCAACCCCGAAAACGCCACTCAAACTTCAGCCAGCAGTTCAAATGGGCCCCGATGGCCATCGCTGTGCATATCTCCTCTGCACGGCGCCAGGTTTTCGGAGTGCAGTCACGTCCGCGCGCATAGCACCAGCCACCCACGCGACCCCAACCCTCCGGGCAAATGTCAGCTGTCTCCGCCGACCTCAGTACTATGCCATGGTTCGCAAGTTCGCAAGTTCACGAGTCCTTGCAACGCACGCTCTGAGCCAGCTGCAGGTCGCTTTGAAGTAGGGCCTGGCTCAGCACGATGTGTAACGCAGCGGAACCACGGAGGCCGTCAACCGCTCGAGTGTCGAAACGCCCCTTGGCAAGAGTTGAAATCCGCAAAAGATAGAAGGACTGTGAAGAAACAGGAGACACGTCTTGTTTGGGCCTTCAGAAGGTTCTACGGTCCTACCTCCTGGCCTTCCGCGACAAAAGCATATCTGGTGGCTGCCACAGTCGTCGCTGCTGTCAACAAGTCATGTGTCAGCGGCACGCTGGCATGCGGCGACGGTAGCTGCACTCAATCCACGGCAAGTTTTGGCCAGCGAAGAACCTTTATAAAACAACCACAAGTCCCAGCTGCAGGGGCAAGATTTGTGTTGATAGGCCATTGCATGCACGCGACCAAATTATCTTTGCAATTGCGGAATGTGGATTAGACAGGAACTCGCCTATGAGCTTTTCAGCTGCGAGGGAAAAACATGGCCTGTCGCAATGAATGGCGCCCCACCAAGTTAGGCTCAGGATTCAGCAGCTTACCCTACAACACTACCGCCTTTTTCGACGGCCTTGACCCTCCTCACAAGGAAAGCATGATGGTACCCCAAAGACCCCCAAAAAGGTGCATTTCCCTGTGGCCTTGACCCTTCTCACAGGAAAGCCAAAAGAGTTCCTTCTTCTTCGGCTTCTGCAAATCCAAAAGCCCCAAAACAGGCAGTGGCCTAGCCCAAGAGACAGGAAAGCAAGAAGGCACCTTATTCTGCTTCTGCTGATCCAAAAACCCCCAAAGAAGGGACCTTTTCCCTGCGTCCTTGCCAAGAGACACTCCTTACAGAAAAGCAAAAAGGTTTCTCGACCTACCTCTAGACTCGAAACATGATGGTCGCAAGTGCATGCAACCCTCGCTCCCTTTTTTCACGGTGTTGCTTCAGGCGTCGGCAGTCAAAGAGAAGGCAGGCATGCGGCTGTGAGGCCCTGAGGCAGGGCATACAGCAGGCAGGGCTCTTTGACCTACTTTAGCGGCCTGAAGCATACCGGAACTAAGCTCGAGACCCCCACCGCGTGCGGTATGCGCCTTAGCTCAGGGCATTTGGGCGGCAGGCAGGAGGCAGGTCAGAGGCGGACCACTCAGTGGCTGGCACTCTTTTTGCTCACGCGGGCAGTGAGGGAGTCAATCTGGTGCCACGGGGCCTGTGGTGGCTGAAAGTCTCAGCATCCTATGCATGACGCAATATGGTGCAGGCTAAAGCGCTGGCGCTGGCCAGGCCGGTTGGCAACCGCGTCCAGGCGATCACGGCTGAGGGCATCCGCGAGGCCGTTTTTGACCCCGGGCTTGTGGGATGTCTGCAGGGTCACTGCATTCGAATGTGACCATGCTGCGACCAAGCGCAGAAAATGCGACAAAGGCCAGGCTGTGGTAAAAAGCTTGGCCAAGCCGGAAGCCGGCTAGTTGTGCAATTGTTTCGAAGCAGGCAATGTAGCGTTGAGGCTCTTTCGTGAGGAAAGGCCAGGCTGCGCGTATCTCCTGGATTGTCCAGACCTCGGAGAACCAGGCGAAGTCCTCACTAAGGGCAAACCAACCCCCTACACCCACCGTGTCCCCTTCCGCCATAGCGTCTGCCGCGGCCAGGCTTGCGCGCAAGTGAGGAATGCGTAGAGGCACGGCGGGGCAGAAAGCCAAGCATTGCAGGAGCCAGTGAATGATGCCTTGCTCTCATTTCGGAGCACAATTCGCTGCGCTTCCGGGTCCGCCACCCGCAACCAGGTGACTGCTGCAGAGGCAGGCACGGGGGGCAAGTCTGCTTTGCAGCGGACGAGGCGACCTTGGCATTCAATGATGCGGGCATTTATTGGCAGAGATAGTGCAGGCACCTCGCTGGTAATGACCCCTTTGGAATTGAGAGCAAATAGCAACTGTTGCCATAGGCGGGCCGGCACGCTATACATGGTTCCTGGAGGGCTGTGCAGGTCCGAGTACAGCGGTGCCGTAAAGGCTCGAAGGTGCGTGCTCAGGCTGGTGGCCCACATGAGGAGGCCCAGGCAGCTCTCCAGGTCTTTGCGATGCACATGTCTGGACTCACGTAAGCCTTGCAGTTGTTGCTTGAGCTTGTCTAATTTGGTCGTCTGGAGCTCAACCGTTTCGGCCCGAAAGTTAAACTTCCAGCCGCACCAAACGAGGCCATCTCCAAGGCAGGCCTTTTTCCAAGAAATGGGGACTTGGAGGATGGTCAGGCAGGCAACCATTAAGGCAAATTGGTTTCAGGATGACAGGCCTGTGCAGGTTGGCCAGCAGGTCATCTACGTATAGCCAAAGGCGGTGAGGCTGTGCAGCCATGAAGCCATGAAGGAGGCGGACAAGGACGCCCCCGAGGCGTTGCCACCAGTATGCTGAGAACCTGGCCCCGAAATGGCAGACTTTGTAATAATACAGCTTTCCCTGGAAACGAAAAAGCAAGAGGCCGCGGTCAGAGGCCTTTACCATGACTCGCTTGTGGGCCGCCTTAACATCAAGGCTGGCTCCTAGCCATAGGCCATGTGCGTCCTCGGGCTGGAAGGCAGATCTGACGTCTGCAGCCGAAGGCAAGACGACCTTTTCGGGAAGGCAGCAGGAGGGATTAACTTGACACACCGTGCTGTCCAGCACGAGGCGCGGGTCTTTGCCTTCGGCAGTGACTACGTTAAGCTTCCCTACTGCTATACCTTGAGGCCAGGCCAGGCGTGCATCGGCCTCGGAGCCCTGGAACAACTCGACCCAACCATTGGCTATTTCGGAGTCGATTAGGCTTTGTGTAAGGTCGGGCTCTGCTTCTGCGGGCTTCCAGTTCCCTTGACAGGCCTCCAGGGGCAGGCGCAGGGGGTGTGCGTCTGGCACATGAGGCCATTGGTGGCTAGAAGGCAGGGCCTCAAAGACTCCTGTTGGCGCGCCTTCTTTGAGAATCTCCAAAAGCGCGAAGTCTGGATCGTCAAGGGCTTTGGCAAAGAATTGCATAAGGTTGAGGCGAAAGGGCTGGCCGACCTGAGTCTTGTCTAGCTTTTCAGAGTATGCCTCCTGCAGGCAGGCTTTGAGAAGGTTTTGATGATGCTCAGGCGGGATAGGGTGGTCCGGACGGCCCGAGGCAATGCTCGCTGCGATTTGCCTCGGCAGGTCATGAGCTAGCAGGTAGCGCTGCATGCGTTCTGAAAAAGCTGTGAGAGCATTTACGCCTTGAGGGTGGGTCCAGTCCGCTGAGCTGTACCATCCTGCGCCATCACAGACTGGCGCTCGGGACCCACGCGGAAGCACGGCAGGCTGTGCCGGTTGTCCATTGAACGGTAAAGGCATGAAGTCTTGTGGGCCTCTGGGCCAGGCGTTGCAAAATGTGCGGACCAGTGCTGCGGCAAGAGGCTGAGGGTACTGCGCCGAGGAAGCGGAGGCAAAGGCGCCATCGTGCGTGCGCTTGCCCACAAACTTTGGGTGCTTGGCCTGGTGCGTGCAGCGGGCGGCAAGCTGAGATATGCGAGGGTCGTTCGAGGCAAAGGCCCATGATTTTTGCAGCATGAGACCGAATTCGCACGAGTCCACCCAGGCAATGGTGGCATTAAAGGCTCGCAAAAGTTGTTGGGCTGAAGGCTCTAGCCAAGCCAGGCTTGTCGGAGGCTGCTCCAGCACAAAGGAACCTCCCATGGTGGCACCAGCCGTTGCTAGCTGATGCGCCCTGGAGTGAATTTCCTGGCTGGTTTTAACTTCCTCGCATTGGCGAGAGTTGAGTCCGGGCAGGCCATTAAGGTATGCATGGGTTCTCAAGGGTGGAGGACCACCTGGCTTGAGTCTGCAGAGGCTATACGGCCCGCATGGCGGGGCCAGGCACAGGAGGTCGACCTTACCTGACCAGCACAGGGTCAGAAGGGACTGAAAAATCTGGTCGTCCAGGATGTCTAAGCTGATATCCCTGCGCATATCGAATGGCTGGAAGCAAGGCACCCCCATTTCTTGTGCTGCCGAGGCCACTGGCGCATTGCGGCCGGAAAAAACGCCCAGCAAGGCTCTCAGGGGCTTGGGACGGTGCCCAGAAAAAGGCGAAGGCATATCGGTAGAAGGCGGCCGGTTTACATGAGGGTTGATCCAAACAATATGCGGAGCAACCCTCTGCCCTGAGATCGCAGGCTTGAGCCGGCGCTCTGGTAGCGGGGGCGGAACTGGCGCAACTGCTGAAGCCTGGCGTTGCGGCAGAGCGGATGTGGGAGGCATTGGCAGGACCTGGAACCTGAGGCTGAGGCACGGAGGCTGTATGTGGCGTGGTGATGCGGGCGACTCCCACGTCTGGCGTGCTCAGGGTGTTGACTGGCAGTTCACTGGCAGGTGTCTGTGGCGAATCTGAAACAGGAGTATTTACGGGCCTGCTGGGAAACACGGGCTTAGAGGGCCTAGAAACCGAAGGGGTTAGGGCATCAGCAGGCCGGCTGTCGCTGAGTTCGCTCGGGCGAGCGAGGGGCAGCTCCTTGTCATGAGGGCAGGCAGAACGCGAGGAAACCGTAGGCTGCTTGGCTTCAGTAATGCGTGCGGCAGAAGGCGTGGCCTCCCCGAGGAAGCAGTCCAAGGGATGTATGGAGGCAACTGATCCCGGACTGTTTCAGGTTTTGGGCTTCGGATGGTCTGAGGCGGCGTGGTCTTTGTGGCAACCTTTGATGGCGCACACGTGAGCGAACTTGCAATCAGGCAGGCGGCAAGCGTTAGATTGAAACCGCCGACATATGGGCTTGCCTTTGAAGGAGGAGGCCCAGTTTTGTGGGAGATTTTGGATCACCCCTTTCCCTTTGCCTTTGTCCTTCAGGCGGGGCCTGTCTTTGTCTGCTTTATCTGGGTGGGCCGGTGGGTCGGGCGTCTTTCTCTTGGTTGGCGAAGGCGTGCTGGGCTTTTTTGGAGGAGGGGGCTGAGGAGGCAGGCGGGGTCTAAGTTGAAGCAGGCTGTGCAGATCCCCTCGCATCACTGTGACCTCGTGGAGGGCATCATCTAAGGTCCAGTTTTGGGCAACCAAGTCAGAAATAACCTGCCACATCTTCTTATCTGCGGCAAGCAGTTCTGCTGTGTTAGGCGTACGGAGGCCCAGGGCAGGGTCCGGCGAGGCAAAGCAAAGGTCTCGAACCTTTTTGTCGAAGGCTTTAAGGTTGGCGAGGTGTGCTGCGCCGCAAAGCGCCCAGGCGTTCCGGAAGACTTGCTGGACTCGCTCCAACCAGGCAGT